TAAGGGGGGTAGGTTTGTAACATTCCATATACACTAGGTCATCATTCCATATCATATTTCATCGCATTTTGGTTGATCCTAGAAATTCAACGCGACTCAAGGACCCTCGGAGAGAGTTGGGGATTTCATTATTTTCAGATTTGAGTTTTCTCAAATTTGGAAATAGGATCATTTGATTTTATTTATTTCATTTTCAATTATTTCTATTATAAAAATGACGAGAGAGGGAATAAAATGACTTTCCCAACATAAAGAAATATTGAGGGTTTAAATAAAAAAATCAAATAAGATTTTATTTTGGTTTTATTTGCTATTTTATTTGAATTTAGGAAACAATGCACGTTTTCAAAAATTGCATTTAGAGCCAAGAAAATGTTCATCCTGTACTAAATATTTTATTTAGACGAAGAAAATTTGTTTTGACATTTTTAGATTTTTTATTTATTTTTCTAGAATTTTTTTAGTCGCAGCGAAATTGTTTTTTTTTTAAACGAGACCCCGCGCCCGACTGGGCCAAGGGCCCAGCCGCCCGCCGCCGCCTCTCGTCGGGTCGGGACAGGAGTCCTGACCTGCGCCGCCGTCGCCCGGGTCCTGGGAGGACTCCGCCTCCCGAGGCCAACCCCTCCCCCAAGTCGCCTCTCCCCGCCCCCTTTATAACCGTCGCCCCCTCCCTGCAGCCCACACCGCCGCCGCCGCCCCACGCCTCCAGCGTCGCCGCTGCCGCATCGGAGTTGCCGCCCCACCGCCCCGCACCACCCGCCGCCCGCCGGAGCCCCGAGCCGAGGTATCTGCCGCCCGGTTTTTGAGAAAAAACTGTTTTGGTTTTTTTTAAAACCCTAGTTTTCGTTTTTTCAATAGATCGGTTTTTCTCTGGTTTATTTATTTAGCGAGCGTTCGCTCGTCCGTTCGTTTTAACGAACGCTTTCATCGTTTAGTTCCTGTTAACGAACGTCCGTTCGTTAACCTGTTCGTCGTATTTCTTTTTCTTGGATTAAATCCGCGGTTTTTCTGAACGCGATTTCTGATCCGATATTTGTTTTAGTTTAACTTTTCGCACGTTTGTCGGAATCAGGCGATTCAAGTGTCTGGAGTTTCGTCTCAAAACCCTCTTTCCGTTTAACCAACTCAAACAAGTTTTTGCCTCAGTAAAATTTGCCCTAGTTTCAGATTAGTAAACGAAGCTTATTTCTTTTGTCGTTTGTCTTTCGTTGCTTCGTTCGGTCTGATTTTTTTTTGCCAACCGGAGTTCTTAAGTTGAACTTTTTGGTTAGATCTTTTATTCGAGCTTTACCTGTGCATTAGTTGAGTACTTATTGTATGCTTGTTTGTTTGCGATAGAGTACCCGGAGTGCGCCGCTTGCTACTTCGAATCGCTAGGTTTCACGGATCATCAGCAAGGCAAGTAACACTTTGATCATACCTTCCTATTACCCAGTTTTATTGCATTAGATCAATCCTCACACATTACATGATTAAGATCTAATTAAATTGTGGGTTTGGGAAGTAGATAAGGTAGTACCTATTACCTGTTATTATCAAACCTTAGGGAGTTACTTGTACGTTTGCTTATTATGCTATGCTATGCTAGTAGACGTAGATTGGGTGAGTGAAATCCATGACAGATGTGAGATTGTTAAATCAATGATTTATCTAAGGTGGCAACTTAAATACACATCTGGGTGGATTGAGGCACCTGGGTATTCCAGCGATTGCCTGTTTTTCTTTTGGACCGCCACCCAGGCTCAAAGGGATCATGAGATTATTCATACTAGAAACTTGCGAACTTTTACAGTGGTAGACTAGCAGATGTCACTATTAGGAAAAGGACTACTAGTGGCGCACCAGTTTTGCCTACTAATGGCGCACTACTGGTGCGCCACTAGTACCACGCCACTATTATTTTTTTAGTAATACAGGTGCGCTATTAGTATCTGGTATACTTTTTTTGCTTAATCTTGAGTCACTATGGCTTAATCTTGGGTCAATATGCTTAATCTCAGGTCAAATCGCACTACGAGGTCAAACTTCCCGAAAGGTCACCCATCCTCACACTACTCCAGCCCAAGCACGCTTAACTTCAAAGTTCTATCCAACCCAGCACCAGCTCACTTCACAGTCACTTGTTGATATATCTAGCATATCAATCTTATCAAACCTTGTTGATGTTTAGGACTTTGTTCATGTTCATGAGTGTGGTGAAATTTTGAAAAAATATTTCAAACTTCCGTTCATATTACGTATTATATTTTGAAAAAAAAATCTGAAAAAAAATCAAAACTAATTTTTTTTCAATTATGGTGCGCCACTAGTAAGTTTGAAATTTTCTAAATTTTTTTGCCTCCAGATCTTAAAAGCCTCGTAACTTTTTTTCTGTTAGGTTTTGAGGATTTTGAAAATGTTTAACGAGGTTCTTATGTAACTTTTCGAGTAGATGATTTTTCATATAGAAAACTTTTTAATCCGAGTTCGTATGCAAAAGTTATGCCCATTTTACAAATTCCAGAGAGATTTTGCAAATAAAGTCGAAATTCACAACTAGACCACATATCACATGGGAAACTTATTTTCTTTTATTTACTAGTTTTCAAAAAATATAAAAAATATAAAAAAATTACTAGTAACTAGTAATGGCGCACCACACCCACGGTGCGCCATTACTAGTTTTGAAAAAAAATAAAAAAATGAAACTTTTTTTTGAAAATTTTTTACTAATGGCGCACCGTGGACATTACTAATTTAACTAGTAATGGCGCACCACTCTCATGATGCACCATTACTAGTTTTGGAAAAAAAATCTTGTTACTAATGGCGCACCGCGGATGTGGTGCGCCATTAGTATTTGGACACTAATGACGCACCAACACATGGTGCGCCATTAGTATATAGTAGTGGCGCACCACATGTCTGGTGCGCCATTAGTGTCAATTCCATCTATATCCCTTTTCTTAGTAGTGTGTAGGGGATGTAGGTTGGTACGGTCTACCCATTCGTAAGGTGCTAGCGCTTCTGAAAGACTATGTCTCGGTCATCCGTTTTTCAAACACCATGTAGTGCGAGATTCCCAACGGAGGAGATCGAGTCTTGTGGGGAAAAGTGTGCAAACTTCTGTAGAGTGTATAAACTAATCATGGTTAGCCGTGTCCCCGGTTATGGACATCTTGAGTATCTAGCACCTGGATTATCATGTGAATCTCATCATGTTACTCTAAATTAATTTTGTTGGGTTTTAATGATGATGCTTAATTGGGATTGAGAGCGCTTCTACACTCTCAATGTTTAACAACTACCATGATAGTTAAATAAAATTTATTTCTTTGTAGTAGGGAAAAATTGGCTTTACGCAAAACTGTAACCATAGAGCTTTCCACCAGCCAAATATGCATATAGAATAGCCTTATTCTTTTATTGCTCTCTATGTGTTACATTGCCAGCATATTTCATGTGCTGACCTGTTTCGGGCTGCAACGTTAATGTTGCAGACTTTTCAGACGACGAGTAAGGTGTTTTTATGTCGTGGTTCTATACTCAGTGATGCCGTTGGAGTTGATGGACTCACTTATCTTCCAAGCCTTCCGCTCTTATCGTTATTAGATGGCCTTAAGTCATATTTATTGTAATAAGTTCTCTTTTGAGACTCTCGATGTAATAAGTGTGTGATTGCTACTCTGTTATAAATCCTTCAAGTACTGTGTGGTGTCAGCATTACTGATCCAGGGATGACACCTGAGCACAGAGATTGGACCGTTTGAGATCTGGTCGCTACATACTAAAAGTATGGAAAAGGGCAAACTAGAAGTATGATTCTACTAGGAAGAACTAGGGATAATCAATTGAACTTAAGTAGAAAAACAACCACCTAATTCACAACAAACAGGACATCATGATGTTAATTAGCAATCCTGCCGTGTACCAAACACCGGCCGTGACGATAACTACTCCAACTACACTCTTGTTACATAGTCACATAAACGCGTGCAGCGAGGTATTATCTCTGTAAACTAATGTAAGACCTTACACGACTACTTAGTGATCTAAAAGGTCTTATATTATATTACAGAGGGAGTACATAGTAAGCTAGGATTTGGCATCAACCTTTTGTGTCATTTTCCCAAAATGATGAGACCAAATAGTGAAGTCATCCATAATGTTCTGTGTGACAGGAGGAAGTACCTTAACTGCAAATTTCATGGCTGGATTAATATTTTGTGTATGAATATCCTTAATGCTTAAACCATTATATTATCTTGGTTTGCAAACATTTTTCCATGCAACTAATCCCCTACGATTATAGTTGAGGGATCAAATTTGGACTTTGTGATAGTTGAGGGGCCTGAGTTATAACTTTTCTTGTCAAAATAATGATGCACCGGTCTCATGAGCATCCTCAAGAAAAAAAACAGGGCCTCTTTTTACAGGAAATGTAAAGCAAAATCATCGACTGAAACCACGGAATATCATCTGGGCAACGTGCCTCTCTGCGGAATAATCACCTGAGGATCTCAAAGAGCCAACCCCAGCTTTCGTCACAGCTCTGATGCTCATGTGCCCACTGGGGATAAAGGGGCTAGGGGTGATGACTGACGACTGATGGAGATGCATCCTGCCGAAAGAAACGAGAGAATCAACCTTTCAAAAGTCGCGCATTGCCTATATATTCCTCTAATCTAGAATCATATCGATGCCCTAGCCCATTCGATGGACGACCCAAACTAACAGCGGCACTGCTGATTAATTAGTCATTTATTCACAGTGGAACTGAAGAACATATTTTACTACTACTACATTGGATTTGCAACATCATGCAATGGATAGATAGGTAATCCTCGCTCCTTTTCGTCTCAGCCATATCTTTCCGAATTTCTACCGAGATTACGCGGCCTTTTCAGTCGCCATCAACTGCTCATCATCACATCAGAAGGAGAATAATTGCCTTTCACCGGCAAATGCATCCGGTTAGTCTGATCCAATCCAGTTGCGGGCGTCGAGAGGTTCCGGTTCTCTCAGGCTTGTTGGTGCGTGTCGCTGCTCCTCTTAGGGACCTTGATCTCCAGCGACCCCGCACCGTCGTCGAAGTAGGCCTCCACCCTGCCCCCGTCGGCGTCCTCCGGCAGCTCCACGCGCCGCACGAAGCCGTGCTCCCACCACCGGCCGGCGCGCCAGTCCCGGCCGTCCGCCGGCGGCGCCCGCCATAGCCCGCTCACGTCCACCACCTTTGCGCCGTCGCCGCTTACCTCCACGTCGCACTTTCTTCCACCTGATGATCATGTCAAAGATAGCAAAATTTAGTGCTAGATACTGCACAAGTACCATGTGTACAATACGATATGATAACGGTGCAAGTGTGCTTGGCTTTGTTGGTTTTGGCAATCGTGTGGCACAATCTACCGCTCGCTTTTCCGCAAGCAAGCGGCACTAGACTGGTCTGGATCAAAGTGGTGCGCCACACGCAGACGCAACGAATAATTTGCCAAGAAAAAGCGACGGCGACAGAAGGCTGCACGTGACCATGACTATAGTGCTGCGGCAAAAGCAAAGGGATAGCAACGGGGAAAGCACACACGAGCACACCCCTCTAGTAGATAGCTAGCAAGTTGCAATCTTGTAAGAACATCTTGATATATGTGGCGAAATGCAAAGGTGTTGGATTCCTACACAAGCCGTGTGGCATCTTCTGAGGTGTTGTTGATCGACGGACAGTAGAGGAGCACGGTAACTTACTAAGCTCGTTCATCTAGACATCTGCTGGTCGATATATTCCTAGACAATCAACGCAGCTAAATCGACCGGGAGTGGAACCCGTGCACTTGGTACAGAGGTCAGATCATACATGCATTTACTGGAACGGCGAATCTATGCTAAAACTTTGGTACTTTTGTCACTTGGGACAGAGGTTTCAGTTTGAAGCTTGAACAAAAATCTGATCGTATGTACTACTGTACTTTTGTTACTACTCAAGTTAAGTCATCTTCGACAACAGACGAACACAGCCGATCTTGTACTGTGAAACAATCGATGGAGCGAGCTGTGTGCGTACGGGGCACGTACCTGGTATGTCGGCTCTGAGGCAGTACTCGCAGTCGTTCTCGGCCCAGTCGACGGTGGTCCGGGCGCCGCGGCGGAGCGCGGCGAGCAGCACGTCGGACTCAAACTCCCACATCGGAAACGCATCAGCCGGGTCGAAGAACTTGCCGAACAGGTAGGGGCTGAACAGGGAGCCCTCCGCGAACACGGCCTTGGCGTCGGCGTCGGCGCCGGGGGACTTGAGGAACGCCGTGAAGGTGTTCTCCAGCAGCGACATGCACCACTTGGGCGCGGCGCCGTCGGCCCGGACCTCGATCGCTCGCCGCGGCATCGGCGCTGGCTGGTGGTGGGGATCGAAGGCAGGCAGGGGAGCGGGCTGAGGGGGTGTGGACGAGGGTGCTCGCGTTATATAGTACGGGGCACGTACGGTGGTGGTGGAGTTGGCGGTGGGGCATGGGGAGCGGCCGGGGGCGGTGGTGGTGGTGGAGCTGATTGGCCTTTGCGGAAAGCAAAGCGTGGGAGGCGATTCCGCCCGGAGTTGGCTGGCTCTGCTTTGATCTACTGTGTGATTCCCGCCTTTTTCATCGCCTGGATCTTTATTTCCGTCGGGCGCGGCGGACTTGGCGGGCTAATGGGCCGAGGATGCCCGGTATGTATAGATTTCTTTTTTGCCACAACGGCGTCATATACTCATATATTTCATTTATAAACCCACATGTAATTCCTTCACAACTTTCTATAGAGGAATAAAGTGAGTGTGATTCCCCCAAAAAAATTATCTAAAACGTTTGTAAATACCAACCCCTCACAGCGAACGTTCGGGGGATATCTTGGTCCTTTTCTTTTTCTTTCCATTTTTCAGTTTCTTTTTAAATTCGGTTTATTTTACTTTTATTTTTTACTAATATATAAATTAAATTTTAAAAAATCAAATCTTCAAAAATTGTTCCCTTCTTTCAAATTTAAAATTGTGTTTTTATAAAATGTATGTGAATTGTTCCATTTTAAGAAAAATGTTCAAATATTTAAAATTTGTTCTAGCATGACAGAACAACGTTCACAATTTAAGAAAAAAACAACAATGTATTTATAAATTTTCAGGACTTCAAAAATTGTTTGCCTTTTAAGAAAATTTTCAGATTTTTCTTAAAATGGGAATTTAAAAATATGCTTGAATTTTCAATTTTTGCTCCCTAATTTCCAAAAATATTGGAATTTAAAATTTCCATGTTTAATTTTTTCTTGTTTTCAGAAAAATAAAAAATATTTTAAAATATGGAATTTTTGAAATTTCATGTTTAAAAATATGCACTTGTTTTTAAAAAATGAGACAATTTTTTGCCAAAATTTTGGAATTCTAAATTTTGGTTGTCTTTTTCAAGAGCAGTTTTGCAATTTCAAACTTTGTTCACATTTTTTTTCAAAAATTGTTCATGTATTAAAAAGTGTGTTCAGATAATTCAAAAATCTATAGGCTATGGTAATTCACTTCATGACCCGTGCGGAAAAGCATGTTCTCAATTTGAAGGGATCGATCAAGGGTCATCGAGTGATCAATCGGAACTGGGTGTGCGGCCTTGATATTCGTTGACAATATTTGCCGCTGCTTTGAGGTTCGAAAAAATGTCTTCGTTCGTCTCTACCATGGCGTTCATTCCTTTGATGACTACTTCATCTTGAAGAAGGATGTCGTGGGAAGGATTGGGTTCTCTTGTTACCAGAAGTGCACGACCACGCTGCGGATGCTTGCATATGGCATGGCCGCTGATTCGTGGGACAAATCTTCTATATCTAAATAGCTAGCCCCCACTAACTATTTCTCTCAACATGCAAGCATGCCATATCATCCCACAACAAGCATGAGAAAATGCCCACCCCCACTATCCTATTTCTCTACATGCAAGCATGCCACTTCATCATTAAACATGCATGAAAAAAAGACTCATCTCAACATCCAAACATACATAAGAAATTTCATTCTATTATGCTATTTATAATTAATAAAAAAATTACAACTATATAGTAATCGAACATAATAAATTATATGTATTTCTAGTTTGAGCTTTTTATATTATTACTTCAAATATGCATGTATCATGCAACGAATCACATTGAAATATTGCAAAATAACCCCGCAACAACGTGCGGGTGTCATCTAGTACATATGGATATCTAAGAGCACATCCGGAAATGCCATGGTAAGATTTGCTACTGTCTTGGTCTTGATGTTTGGACATCAATACCTAAGAGAACCAACTATGGCAGACACCTAGAGGATCTTGGCAATGTCTGAAGCAAGAGGATGACCAGGTTTCTCTGATCTCTTGCAGCATTCATTGGAGATGGAAGAACTACCCAAAAGCTCTACAAGGGCAATATAAGGGTCATGTTAAGAAGCCCACTATCATTCTTGAAGCGGTTGCATTACATGATCTTTGGCTTTGGCACGCTTTCTTTGGCATGCACGATTTGTAGTTGTTCATGAAGCTACTAAACAATGGGATCCGAAGACATTGTGAGAGGTGATGACATGTTGTGTGATTAGACACAACATGATCATCGGGGATGAGGGTGAGGATGTTGCAAAAGGTCTTGAATTTGAGAACATGGATGATCCTATGAAACTTTAAGACCAGAATCTGACCACATTTGATGAGTAAAGGGGACAACAATGTTGCAGCGTAAGCAACTCATGAGCAACTAAAGGAAGATCTGATTGAGTATTTGTGAGCGGGTAAAGGGGACAACAATGTTGGAGAGTGATATTTAAATTGGAACCACTGCTGCATTTGAACATTTTTAACTAAACTAGAACTAGATATGTGGCTATATTGAGCCCGCGGATGTATGTAGACTTAAAAAAAATGTTGCGACTAGCTTTGGACGGTTGCCTCCCGCTTCCATGTCTGCGGACTAGCCTTCCTATCATGAACGGATGCGGTGTCCGGTTTGCGGGTCAGCATTGGAGATGTCAGGGCATCTTGAAAGCGGACCCTCAAACTGCCCACAAACGTCGGGATGGCATGGTCCGGATGCGTTTAGCCATCCAACGCGGACCTGTATCCGCCAGCCGACCGGTCTGGACATACTTTTTGCCGCAAAGTCGAAATAAACTTGGGGGAGGGGGCTTTGCATGAGTCCGAACATCAGTCACGTAGAACTCCGATACCCTCAGCCCACCCAAAACCGCTCCCAGACCCCGCGCGTCCATCGTCCCATTTTTCTCTGCATCCGTTTTATCTCTTGCCTCCGCGGCCGCTCCACCACCCCGGGCGCCCCGCCACACCCTTGTTGGAAATCGATGACCCCATCTCCTCAACCGCTACACCCGGGCTCCTACTACTCTCGTACTAGTTGTTGGATTCCCCCGAAGAGCAAGGGTGATGTAGCACAGTAGCAGAAAGTATTTCACTCGGTTAAGAATAAAGGTTTATCAAATCAATAGGAGTCTATAAGCTAGCAACATAAGCAACACCTGCGCACAAACTAAATAAATACTTGCACCCAACTTGGCAAGGGGGTTGTCAATCCCTAGTTGCAAGGTTAATAAAAAATAGTGATAGATAGTGATATGGCAAACGACAAAATAGTAAAGTGAGCAATAAAGCAACACAAATAATAATAATAGAGAATGCACCCGGGGGCCATAGGTTCATGTCATTGTTGCCGCCATGAGCTGGAGTTGACGACCCACATGCCATTTTGGTATAGGTACATGCTACAGATTTGAAACATGGTTAAAGACCGGCTAAACCTTCACCACACTCTCTTACTACGGAGCACTGTTCCATGGAGCGACCACTCCCCCCTACTCGTAGCTAATTTGGAAAAGTTGGCCGCCGAGGAATGCGAAGATTTTCCTTTGGCTAGCCTCCCTTAACCATTGTTGGACAGCCGATCACACGCGCATCATAATCTCCCCCATGATCGGGTTTGCAAACTCTGCAACCAGGAGAGCGAGATCCTACACCAGTTGCTTGTGGGCTGCGTCTTCTCTCGCATCGTTTGGCATGACACAATGGCCTGGTGCCGCCTGCCCACCCCCCCTTCAGACCGCGTGACATGATTCTTTGACTTGTGGTCCACAACAATGTCCATGGCACTGGCTAGCCTGCGTAGGGGTATTAACTCTCTGATCATTCTAACAGTGTGGACTATCTGGAAGCACCGTAATGGCAAACTTTCTAATGGACCCCTCCTCCACTCAACTCTCCAATGACATAAAAAAGGAGGCGCCTCTATGGGCTAGAGCCGACGCCAAAGGCCTAGATTAATCCATGTAACCTGAACTTACTCTCTGAGGCTGAGCAATCTTACCCCCTCTCTACTTAATCCATGCTTTTGATGTCGCCATGCTTGTGTACGTCACCAAAAGTAGCACCCCTATAAACTATCTCCCCTATTTATGAATGAAATGATACACATCATTGCATATTCGTAATTAAAGCTTCACCAGATTCAACCTAACTCTTGAAGTTGGATGAGGACGGTTAAGCTTTTGTTGACAAGCGTTGTGATAGATAAAAGAAAGCAAATTGCACGTTTAATACGTCAACTCGTTGCGCGTTAGAGCATCTCTAGTAGATTCCGTAAAAACGGTCAAACCTTGGTATTTATGGTACAAGCTGAAAAAATCATCCCGAATAGATCTTGTAAAACAACATATCCTGTAAAAAAAAATTGCAGGCTCCCCTATATTCGAACCCCAGTCTGTTATGTTTAGAGGATTTCGGCCGTTTTTGGAGGATCCTGTAAAGCCGGTCAACGCCGGAGCAGGGGACCTCTCGACGCCGTGCACAAGCAGCGAACAGGCGGAGGAATTCGCCGACAGCTGGCCGGAGCATCGCCAGAGCACGCGTCGGCCCGGCGCGTCACCAAAGTAGGTAGCGGGCCAAATCAGGCGGAAATCAATGTTCGAGTTCGTCCATGCCTGTGTCCCAGGGAAGAAGAAGCATGAGGAAAAAAAAATGTTTACTGTGTGGGTTTACAAAATTTGTTCCGACTGACGCCTCGCTGTATCGTAAATTCGTTTTAGGGGAGCCCGTATAGTGTTTTTACAGGTGGTGTTTATGGGATTGCTAGAGATGCTCTTGCACCGAACCCACGTCTAGATTGTTCCCCACCAAAACCCTAGAATCCCCTAATCCAATCCCCACCGGTTCCCCACGTCTGCCGATGGGGCTCTTCTCGTGGTGGAGGGGCTCCCGCCGCGGCTCGCCGGAGCAGGCCCCGAGCCAGCAGGCCGCGAAGGGAGCGGGAGGCGCGCAGGCCCAGGTGGCCGTCCCCGGCACCCATGGGGCGGTGGAGGTGCTGCGGCAGCGGCAGCCGGAC